AATCAAGGAAGGGAACATTGAGCATCGATCAATACCTCAGCAAAGTAAAACTTCTGGCAGACAACCTTGAGATTGCTGGAAAAACCATCCCTCACTCGGATCTTGTAACTTAGGTCCTGGCTGGTTTGGATGAAGAATACACACCCATTGTTGTTCAAATCAATGGCAGAGACTCCATCTCTTGAGGAGAACTCCAATCAACACTCATGACTTATGAAAGCAGACTTGAACATCTCAATTTGGTGAAAAATGAAATGGCAGAAATTAACCTCAATCAAACATCAATCAATTTTACCCAAAAACCAGGATTAAGCAACCATCACTTCAGAGCCTACAGGCCAAATAATGGCGGCAGATTCAACAGAGGAGGAAGAAGAGGCAGATACAGAGGTGGTGGTGGCGGCTTCAACATCAGTGAAAAACCTGTCTGTCAAGTATGTGGCAAAATTGGACACAAGGCAAATATCTGCAATTTTAGATATGATGAACGCTATACAGGAAAACCACCAAACCAGGGAAGTAGCTATAGCTCATCACCAACAGTCCTTATGGCAGCTCCCAACACTGTAAGTGACCCTGCCTGGTTTGCAGACACAGGAGCCAGTAACCATGTCACTGCAGAAATGGAAAACATAAATTCAGCAAGTGAGTACACTGGTAAGGAAAAAATTGTAGTTGGCAATGGAAATAGATTGCATATTTCACATATTGGCATGAATCACTTGAATACCTTAATAGACAAACCACTTGTGTTGAAAAAATTGCTGCATGTACCTGCAATAAAAAAAAAAACCTCATAAGTGTTTCTCAACTAACATCTGATAATAATGTCTATATGGAATTTCATTCAAATTGCTGTTTTGTTAAGGACAAGCAAACGAGGGACGTAATGCTACAAGGGAAGCTTAAAGAAGGGTTGTATCAGCTGGAACTTCATCATCTAAACACTGAACCTCTCATCAGAAGTTTGTCATCTCAAATAAACCATGCAATGATGTGTCTTCTATTAATTCCTGTCAAGAGTCCCCAAATTCCAAAATTGATGTATGGCATAGGAGACTTGGACACCCCTCTAGTCAAGTAGTGTCTCAAGTACTCAAAGTATGTAATCAAAAGGCAAAAATCAATGAAATCATATCCTTTTGTGATGCCTGTCAATTTGGAAAAGCTCACCTCTTACCATTCTCCCTATCTACTTCACATGCTAAGGCTCCCTTAGAACTTATACATACAGATGTTTGGGGACAAGCACCTATTCAATCAACATTAGGTTTTAATTATTACATTACCTTCCTAGATGACTTCAGTAGATACACTTGGATATATCCCATGAGACAAAAATCTGAAGCATTAAACATATTCATTCAATTCCAAAAATTGGTTGAAAACAAATTTGACAGGAAGATAAAAACCTTGCAATCTGATTGGGGAGGTGAATATAGGAGCTTTGTAAACCTTGTAAAACAATGTGGAATTGAGTTTAGACACCCTTGTCCATACACCTCAGCTCAAAATGGAAGAGTAGAAAGAAAGCACAGGCATATAACAGAGACAGGATTGACCCTCCTAGCTCAAGCCAAAATGCCTTTAAAATACTGGTGGGAGTCATTTCAAACAGCAACATACCTCATAAATAGAATGCCTACTCCCACACTCAAAATGCAATCTCCATTTGAAGTCCTATACAAAAAGAAAGTTGACTATGAAGCACTTAAAACCTTTGGGTGTGCTTGTTATCCCTGTTTAAGACCTTATCAAGCACACAAGTTCAGCTTCCACTCAACCAAATGTGTCTTTCTTGGCTATAGTGAGTCTCACAAAGGTTACAAGTGTCTCAACTCATCAGGAAAAGTGTACATCTCAAGACATGTGGTTTTC